TGATCGACGAAACTACGACTTCATGGGCAACTGCAGCTACCTGCTGGCCAAGCCGTGCAACACCACCTTGGCCCCACCTTTCGCAGTGTATGCCGACAACGAGAACCGCTACAACGTCCTGTCCGTCAGCTACCTGAAGGCTGTGCATGTGCACACCCTGGGAGTCGTCGTGTCGATCTTGAAGGGTGGAGTGGTGCAGGTGAGAAAGAACTATCAAAGAGAGAATTCCATTCCTGAATAGTCTGATGAGTATTCTGCATCCCTCACTGTGATCTCCTCCCGCAGGTGAATGGGACCACGGTGAACCTGCCTGCCAGCCCGGCAAAGGGGCTGTCTGTCTTCCAGCAGGGGACACTCTACACAGTGGTGGCAGATTTTGGGGTGACTGTGCGCTATGATGGCAACCACTACATGGACATCAAAGTTACCAGCGAGTGAGTTTCACCATAGGCTATTAATTATTTTGCTCATGAACACATTCATCACTTTCCAGTGTTTCCACCATTGCAGTATTTCACTTATGGTTTCAGCTGAAAGATCTTGCCCTTTGCCTTTCTCTGTACAGCTACAAGAACATTCTTTGTGGTTTGTGTGGTGACTACAATGCAAACCCCAATGATGACTTCCGTACTCCCACTGGTCAACTCGTCACCAATGCCAATGAGTTTGGCCACAGCTGGAACTCTGATCCTAAGTGAGAACAACATGACTGCATTAAAAGTGTGAAATGGTGTTAGGCTTAATCTCCCAGATAATGTCATGACTTTATTGCCGACTGCTTGCAGCTGCAACAAGAAACCCAATGAGACCATCCCTGAATGCACAGACGACGAGCTGGATGTGTTCCAGAGTCCAGCATATTGTGGAATCTTGCTGGACAACAAGGGACCATTCGCTGTCTGTCATCCAAGGGTCAACCCCAATGTGAGTTACCGTGTGAAAACGTATATACCATTCAAGGCCAAGGTCAGAAATGCTCATAGCGTTTCAGTGATTAGTAATCATCAGATTGCACCGAGTTATCTGAAGTAGAAGAGCATTTATCATTCCGGTAAATTGAGATCTCCCTCTGCAGAAATTCTTCAAAGATTGTCTGTTTGACCTCTGCGCTCTGGGTGGAGCTCAGTCATCATTGTGTGAGGCTCTGGAGTCCTACGTCAAGGAGTGCCAGGACCGAGGAGTTGATGTGGGGCCCTGGAGGAATAGCACCTTCTGTCGTGAGTGGCTGCTACTTTGCAGTAATCACTTATGGCCCATTCTCTGAAATGGTATTTTTTGAAGACCCCAAAACTGCAACCATTTCATATGACACAACTGTACAATATAACTGCTCCCCCACAGCTCTACGCTGCCCCCCTAACAGCCACTATGAGGTGTGTGCCCCCGTCTGCCCTCCATCCTGCACCCCTCCCAGTCCAGAGCAGTGCAACAGCCCATGTGCAGAGGGATGTGTTTGCGACCCAGGATACGTCTACAGCTCAGGGCAGTGTGTCAAACGAGAGACCTGTGGCTGTCAGTACAATGGGCAGTACTACCAGGTGAGGTGGCTACATTGTTATGTGGTGTGTGTACGTCCATTTCATTCATCTGACAGAAACTGATAGCTCTGGTCTTTCTCACAGCCCGGAGAAGAATTCTACACCGAGGGTTGTCAGTCAAAATGCAAGTGTGAGGGTGGTGTTGTGACTTGTATAGAAGGTTCATGTCCTCCACAACACATCTGTGAGCTTCAGAACGGACAGCTTGGCTGCTACCCTATAA